AGATTGAATAGGCACTGCACTTCACCTGTATAAGTATCTTGCTAAATAAATGCTTGGTCTAGTGCTATGGGTACTCGGTCATTGTCGATAAACCTTAATAAAAAAAAATAAAAAAAAGTAGTAAAATTAATTTACAAAATAGATCCAATGACATCATAGTTTATTTATTTTATTTTATTTATTTTATTATATTTAATTTATTTATTATCTTATTTTTCTGTATTTTCTTTATTTAAATTGTTATAATAATATATAGAATAGTTTTTAAATAAATAGGAGCAATTTAGGATTAAGTAGTGATAGGTTTTTATAAGTTTTTTTAAGTTTGTTTTAGTAGTCATAAATCCTTTAATAATAAACTGTTTAGTACAAACGTGCTGATAGAGGCAGTACTATAATTTTGTTTATTAATCATTTATCTTACATGCATTTATTATATTTCTATTACACTTATAAACCTTTAATTATATTTCTTATCTTTTTTATGAAAGAAACCTCCTACACTCGTACATATATTGCTTATTTAAGTTAAGCAATTTAAAAAACTGGTATAACAGTAGTATTCTTGTATTTCCTAAAGTTCTTTCAATACTTCTTGTTATTTATCTTCAAATAATAATTGCAATTCCTCAAATAAATTGAAATTTTGTTACATTTATCACATTCTAATATATATTCTTCACTACTATTACTAAATGCAAATGGTAGGTAATAATTGATATAAGGATCATGTGATATTATTTTATTATAAGTCACATATAGGTGTTTTAGATAATCACATTTAAGAAATTGTTTAGATATTTTAATATTCTTAAGCTTATATGTCTAATTTATACAATTTTGATATTAGTTTAAATATTTATAAAAATAAAAATTGAAATCATTATACTTACCTAAAGCTCCTGATCTTCAATATTTTGTATAATTAAATTTGCTAAATCCTTAAACATGTCATATTCATAAGTACTACAAATACTACAGAGTTCTCCTAATTTTCTTGGTATATAAATGATCTATCTCACAATTTTTTTAAAAATGCTGATTTTCTTATTTCTTCAGAATACAATTTATAAAATTTTTTTTAAAGAGCTTCTTTTTGATTGCTAATATATTTAGTGGCAATCTTGTTTTGGTATTAACTTTATAAAAGCTTAAATTTACATTTTATTTACTACTCATAAACTATTTAAATTAATTTTTATACTTTTGAAATATAATTTTTTTCACAATAGTGCTTTAGATATAACTAAATATTCATAATTAAATATGCAGCTATGTATTCTTGTATTGTAAATTAAATATGAAAAAGCTTATAAAAGATAATGAATTAGCTAAAAAAAAATTATTTATAGGTAATATAAAATATTTACATAAAATCTGATTTGTAACTCTTTATAAGAAAACTTATCTAAAATATTCTTTGTTTTTCATTAATATAACATTTATTCAAACTCAGGCTATATTTAAAATGTTTGCAGAATACTTCTGTAGTATTGAATATTTGCTTAAGTATTATCTGTAAAAAACCATTTTAATAAAACATATTGATTATTATTTTATTTGATACAGGATCAGATAATCAAATCTAAAATTCATACTATTAAATTTGGTAAGACAATTTATTATTTATTTATAATAAAATTTCTCATTACAAAATTATACTACTAGATTATATACCACTATTATCATGTCTATCACTATATCTATTACTACATATTTCATCACATCTATTACCATTTTATCATCACATCTATTATCACGTTCCTTATTATATTTATTATTATATCTATCATTATATTCATCATCATAAGCAATCTAACAATAAATTCAATTAACAAATAATAACCTACCTCTGATTCTTTCTTATCAAATGATGTTATTTTAACACATCTAATAGTACATAATATTGAATGTTATACTCAAATTTCTTTTTAGAAAATATATAACCATCTGGATATAATAAAGCTAACTAACTATATAATTCAATAATTTTACAATTATTTTTCTTTTATTCCTGAAACAATGAATACCAATTAACTTGGCTGTATGTTCTTTTTTGTAGATGATGTTTAAATATTTGCTTCATTTTTAAATAATTGTACTACTTATTATAAAAACATAATAACTTTTTTATTTATTTTAGTTTTTTTTTATATTAGAATGATCTAAGTCAAATAAAGTTACTCCTGATCATTCTTTTAATATACCTATTTTTTTCATATACTATTAGAATCTAACTCATGAAAATTTTCAAACAATTAGTTTTTTTTATAAATATGAATGGAATATCCATTTTCATTGACAGTTTAAAAAAATAAACATGTTCTTTAGATTTGAAATAGATAAATGATGAAGTAAATTCACATTCAGCTTTCTATTTTGCTAACATATCAATTAAATATATCATTATATTGATTTTTTTTTGATTTTTATATATTTATTGTAAAAGGTTAAAAGAGTAAATCTGACATAAGCTTATTTAAAACTTTATTGTTTTTCATACCCATTATCAATGCTCTAGAAAAATATGTTTCAGTTTAAAATATTTTTTTGTATTATTTTAATATAGCATTTATAGAATCATTTTCAACTTCTTCATTAAACTCTAATAAAGATTCACATAAAAATTCTTGTAATAAATTGTTATATTTATTTCTTTAAACAATTTAAATAATAAAAGGCCTGTTTTTCAGCTTAACTTGTATTTTTATTCCAAAATGAAAGAAGTAAGTAGTATTGTTTAGTTTTTGTTTTATTCTCTTATAAGGTTCTAACATGTCATCAGTTTCTTAAAAAGGTTCAAAATGCAAGTCAAAAACAATTATGTCAGTAACAATCAATATTACCAAAGGTTTCCACTTTTTAGACATTTTTTTAAGCAGCTTATTACAATTTCTTAATAATATTGTTAAGATTAAAACAAGTATATTTATTTAAATATATTAATTATCACCACTTTAATTATTACTTGCATATATGATTAATATTCTAAATCACGAATTAATAATAATAAGTGATACAATATAATGATCATTAATTACATTTGTATAAAGAGAATTTTCTTTATAATAATAATCAGTAAAAAAATAAATCAATTGTAATAATAAAATTAATTTTCTTTTAAGGATTTCTGCTTTTTGTTAGATAATAGTATATCTTTATTCTGTTTTCTTTTCTTAAAGTTTGTTATTTTTTTTTCTTTATTGTAAATTTCATAAGTAATTTTTCTTTTCTTAGATAAGTTTCTAATGTTTGAGTATTATTCTATAATTCTTAGGTTCTATGATAGACCTAATGTAAATTAGCTTCATATTAACTATTTTTATGCAAAGATAACTAATCCTATTTATATAAGAAGTGAAAAAAAATATCATGATCACATTATAGTGATAATACAATTGTGATATTAAACATATTGATTCCTAAAATTATTGGTAACACCAATGTTTACTTTATATGGTTTTGTTGCAGTATGCCCCAAATATTTAAAAAAATTTAATTATAGTGAATTTGTATATAACCTTTTAAATCAATATAAAAGAGCAAGTTAATATAAAATCATAAAAGTAATATAGAGTAGCAAAAATAATTTCTGAGATAAAATATTAATATGTAAGAAACCTTAATAATATTTTAAAAGAACTTTAAGACTAAAATAAAGAAAAAATAATTACTGATAAAAAGTGACATCAATAACATTTTAAAGAGATAACACCACGTGATATAAAGCATTTTTCAAAGATCACGTGCATTTGAAGAACATCAAATGTTTTTAATTTTTTCGTTTTCAACAAATTATTTATGGTATAATTTCCTTTTTCGGAAACAAAGTTCCCTTTATTTTTTATTCGCGGTTATCAAAGCGAAATGTTACGTTTTCTTGAGTTCTATAATTTTTTGCTGTTTCGACCAGAAAACGTTATCACACAAGCGAATAGCTAAACTAGAAAGTGAAAAGCAACCATTCATTAATTCACCGACATTCCTGTCAAAAGCTGAACCGAATGAAGAAACCTATGTTCTTTTTTAACATTCCGAATATATAATATTATACATTTTCCCACCAATATTTCCCATTAAGAAAATGAATGATTTTCTCTCGTGAAAATTTATAGAACTGGTTAAATAAGGTTTTTTTTTTATAGTGCAAGGCTTCTAAAGTACTTTCTACTGTTGAATTTTTATGATTAAATGACGATCTAACGATGTGTTATCAATAGATAAGATAAAAGTCATACATTTATAAAGGGGGAAAGATCGATGGTCGTTCAAAATAATTATGAATTTGTAATTGCCAAGATGCTTTAACCAAAAAAAAAAAAATTTGCTAATTTTTTACTAATTTTGCATTTCATATTTACATGTATCACATTGTTCAATTTATAATTTATCTCGATTTAAATAAAAATATTGTCTTACAAATTACGTCGTGACTATTAACATTTAAAACGTTGTATTAACAAATGGAATTTAGGGCTGAATAAATGTTTTTGGATGGAAGGCGGAGAAAGGCGACAATAAAAAAAGGAAAGTCAGGTGATGGTTACACCACATGAAAAGGTGGCCAATTGGAATAATTACTCAACTCACATGTTAACCACACGATTTCCAAAAACGATGGTTAATGCAGATCCTCTTGTTGATTTGAAATTCATGCATCGACCAATACATTTATTAAATATTTACACGTGGATATTTTACATTAACCAATTATTAAGTGTAAATCTAACACACCCAAAAGTAAATCTACCAATACCATCAGGTCATTTTTGCATTTACTTTTTTTAAATTAAGGGAGGAAAAAAAAAATGAAATAAATAATGACAAATTAGAACAATTTTTAATTTTCAAAATTTTTTTTTTATCTCAGTTTTTTTCAAGAGAACATCATAAATAATAATAACAAAAAAAAAAAAATGAATAACAACAATTTTAATAATAATTGTAATAATAATAATACAATAACGGGGTATAGAACTATTATTCCAGCACCACCAGTAATGATTCCGTCACCACATAGTTCACCTCAAGTAAATCCAAATATTCAACCAGGTCTTTCCTTACCACCACCTTTTGGTACCCCACCGGTCTCACCGTTCTCCAATCCGAGGAACAATGTGGAATATTTAACTCCGCCACTCAATCTTCCGCCCATGATGTCTTCTATTCCAAAACAACAAGGACCTACCACATCAGTGTTTTCAGTACCAATGACCCCTTCTAATGCCAATAGTGTCATGCATCATCATACTTCCGTAATTCACCCTTATCAACATCATCAACATCGTATTGCTATTGGTGACGCAGCAGCTGGAAATGGGGAAAAACCTCTCACCACCGCGGATCAACGTGAATTGGCACGTAAAGTATCACATTCTGCTATAGAAAGACGTCGTCGGGAAAAAATCAATGATAAAATCATGCAATTAAAAGAATTGATTCCGAGTTGTGCCGATCAGGATCATTTACATAAATTAAGCATTCTTCAAAGTGCTATTGAATATATTCAATATTTACAAGGTTGTGTTGTGGAATCAAGAAAACGTGAGGGAAATAATGGAAGAAACTCGGAAGGACGAACCACCAAAAGATCAAAATTTGATCGTTATGAAATTCCTATTCCCAAAAGTATTGAAGCTACCGATAATTTAAAGAACAAGGATGGTTCTAGTAATGTTAGTAAAAGTGATAACTCTAAAAATAGGGAGGAAGGAAGCGTCAATCATGAAGGAGCAAATGCTTTATTATTATTATCCATATCACACTCCACAACTACCAATCCCGATTCCGACAATGATGATGATATAGAAGATAAAAGAATACCCGTGTCTCGACGTGTTGAAGTACAAACTTCTCCCAACTTGAAAGAAACTATTGAAGATGAAGATGAGCATGAAGAAAGTACGCCTTCAAGGAGCGCGATGACTGTCCAACAATTATTATGTTAAGCTTTTATTTTAAAATACGTTTATTTTATTTTTTTATTCCTCTTTTTATATTTGTTAATACGAAAAGAAAAAAAAATAATTTTATGTAGTTGTTTAAAAGTATACATTTTCTATTCTATGGGAAATTGTAATACGATAAATATGTATAGGGTGCGGAATTTGGTTTCAAAAAAATAAATAAATTTCAAATTCAATTTTCCGTGCACCGATGCTATACGTTCAAAGTGTATATATTTTCTGCGCCTGTAAATGACTGCGGTGATTAAAAAACCCATCCTATGACAAAGAAATCATTTTTTTTTCATTCACATGTAAACGTTTTTTGAAAACAATATGGATATCCAAGTATTGTTATCAATCATTTAGAAATTTCGTGATTTTTTTTTTTTTTAATTCTAGCCAGTTACAGAAGTAAATATTTATAAACAAATATGCAAATAGTTTTATGACATAATTTAAAACGTTTTAATTAGAGTTATCACCCATGCAAATAATTCTGTTTGATGTTTTAAAAGTTTAAATATGATTTTGCAACGTTTGATAATCATGCGAAGATAATAATATTATCATTACAACAAGTCTGTAAGTGATGCAAAAAAATATGTTAAATAATTTGTAAATCGTGCAAGTATTTTATTTAATTTTTGTTAGATCCTTGACAGTGGTAGAATGACAATAACAAATTAAAAGGTGCAGCATGTGTATCCTTATTTGATCAAAGCTATCAACCTCGCGTTCTTTGGGCGCTTTCTCTGTCCCCTTTCTTTTCTGCGAGTAATAGTTTGATACATATCAAATAAAAGTCGTTTAATTTTACCGCTTTCAATTGGTTGATACTTTCAATCGAACCTAATTTTTTTTGGTCATAAAGTTCATACATTATTTTTGACTAAATATAGTTACTGTGACATGTGAATTTATTGAATTCGCGATTAATCAGTGTATGAGAATTAAGAAAAATCTTTCATTAAATAATGTATTTTATGAAAGAAAATTTGAAATTATATTAAATCCTGTCTCAAGCAAAGAATTTATTTCACTGGATTTATTAATAATAATAAAATAAAATGTTGTTAATAACTGAAAATAATAATTAATTTGTTTGTAATATAGATGGGATATGAGCTAGAAAAATAAGGTTATGAGACTTTAACCAAAGTTAAAATTTTTATTTTATAGCAAATATATTTTTTTAAAAAAATGCAGTGAAGCATTTAAATAACAAGAAATCCCAAGACAGATATATAAAGTAGAAAATACCTTTTATTTTATTTGAATTTGATCAAATTAAATCAAAGATTCAGAATCCTATGAGAGGACAAAACGTTAATCAATCAATTAATAAATGAATTCAAGAATCTATATTAAGAAGAATGACAAAAGTATTATACGGTTTTATTTTCATAAATAAAAAAATTTTTTATTAAGACTACAGTCGATTTTATTTTAAGTAATTTCAATCAAAAAATTTTTTATATGTATAAATTTTATCACGTGACTTTGAAGTATAATTTTATTAGCGCAAATATTTATAGGTTAAAAATCTTTTATTATTCTCTGCTTCTGATTTTACAAATTCTTTTCTTTGCTTTTTCTCTTTTTCTATATTACAGTTTTCAAATATGAAAAGTAATTGGTATCATATTGATATGCAACTTCCCAAGCAATGCATTGAGCTGAATCATTTTTTCAATTAATACTTTTGATATACTAAATTTTACTACAAAATCTGCATATCACAAATCAGGTGATAAATATGAAACTTCAAAAAATTCTTTTATTTTTGTTTCTTTTTCAACAGGTAAACCTTCCTATTATTTTAAAAACTTTAAAATTATGACTTATTAGTACATGCATTTATGATAGAAATTTTTGATTTTAAAATGATAAAATGATAAACTCATATTAAAAAAAAGATTAGGTATTCAGTTTATCAATCATGTGATATGATTTTTATAATAATAATATTTTATTAATAAAAATAAAACCCAAATTCTTAGGTTGACTTAAAATTTTCATGTAATATAAACCAAAAATCTAAATTTATGTAACCTAAAACCTCTTTTAACATCTTTTCAAATTCACAAATATTTTAAAAACTGAAAATTGTAAATTTAAATTTCTACCTCAATTGTAATTTATAAGTTCTTAATTAGATTAAAATAAAATTTTAAGCAAACCAAGAAAGCATCTCTATATTTTAGAATGCAAAAATCCTTTTATAATTTTTGAAGTATAAATTAATATATTATTTTCTTGAAAATTTGATTTTTTTTGATTTTTCAAAAAAATGTTTTGAGTATGAATATTATATAAATAGAAAATACATCTTCATATATTTTCAATTAATGAATCTTTAAATAAAATAATGAAACCTAATTTTAAAAAGAAAAATATGTTTAAATTATTTTTTAAAAAATATTTTATTATTTATATAATGTAATCTTCATAAAATTTTTTTTTGATTTTTTTTTCATTCAGATTTTATCTTTTAAAATTAAAAATGGAATTATAATTAATTTTAAAATTTTAATTTGAATTGCAACTCTTTAATTTATAATTATTTAATAATTTTTATATTAAATAAATTTTAAAAAAGTTACAACTTACTAATTGCAACTTCTTTATCTTTAGTCTAAATTATTTTTTTCTAAAAAAATATATGATAAATTATTTATATATATATTAATTTATTATTTTTAATAAAAAAATATATTAGTAATTTTTACTAGACTTACTGTTTTGATTATATTAAATATAATCAATCTGATAATTTTTTAGAAGATTCTTCTGAATTATAAACTATCCATTAAATGATAATGATTTATGTTTAAATTTAGTTATGATTTTCAATCCAAAATTCTATATAGAAACTTCCATTTTTTTTAATTATAATTATAAAATTTATTATAAATCTATTATTTTTAAATAAATTTCATTTTTAATTAAATATGCAAAATTTTTAACTTTAAATTTATGATTTTTATAAATAAATATTTTAAAACTTTTTTAATAATATAAAAAATAAATAAAAATTATAAATTTTAACTTTTATAAAGAAAATATTTTTATTAAACTTTGATCTTAAATTAATTCAAAAAGTTATTAATTAATGTAAATTTTTTTTTGATTTTACTTAAAATATTATAAATTTATTATAAAAAATATTATTTATTTGATAAATAATTTGTAAAATATTTAAAATTAACTTTAAATAATAAGTAAAAATTTTTTAAATTTAAAAGAAAAACTATTGAAAGGATAAATTATTTGTAATTATTATCATTAATTTTCTATAGTTTTTATAACCTTATATTATAATGCATTAATTTTTAGCTTTCTTTTAATTCTTTAGCAAAATCCATTATATTTAAAATTAAATAATAAAATTATTCAAAACTGATTTTTATAATCTGTAATATATTAAATCAAAATAATAAATAAAATACTCATTTAAGTAATAAATATATTATAAATATGATATAAAAATTATATAGTTATAATTTATTAAATTAATTAAATATCAACTTGAAAAAATTTGTTATCATAATACTATATAAATATTAATATTATAACTTTACTAAAAAAATATATAGGTCAGTTTTATTATTAAAATTATATATATTACTAGGATTCTGCAATTTGATTTAATATTTAAATATTTAATTTAAAAATTAAATTAAATTCAAATTTATATTTAATTTTGTTTAATCAAATTCAAATCATGTAATAAAAATTAATAAAAATACTTCTATAATTTTGAAGATATTTTTTATTAAGAAAACTATTATAAAAAAATACTTTTATAGCTTTAAGAATGATTTTTACTAAAAAATATTTTATAAAAATGCCTATATAATTTCAAATATATTTTATTATGATTTTTTTAGTAAAAAATCTATTAAGCTATCAGGGTAAGACAAAAGTATTGCATGGTTTTGATTTAGATATTTTAGTTAATTTATCATATGTAATTGAGCCATATTGTTTTAGTAACATATTAGCTGGCTTATGCTTAATAAAATATTTAAATAATTGTTAAAATTAAAGCATTGCAAGATGTAAAATCGAAAATTTAAAAATACATTACTTTTCAATTTATTGCATATACTAAGTTTTGATATCAGATTCAATATTTAGTTTTTTAGATATTTCTCTTGCAAAAGAAACTAAATAACTATTGTATAATGATATCCTATAATATTTATGATTTCTGAGTTATTAAACCAAATTTTTTGCTATAATAATGCTCTTTTTTTCTAAAAGATAAGTCTTTTAATTATATTATCACTTGCGTTAAATCGAATTTTAGAAGTATTTTCAAATTTTATTTTACGAATTGCAACATATTAATTCAAACTATAATAAAAATATTTCATTTATTTATTCGATAATCAATATATTACTAAAAAAATATGACTTAGTTACATATGATAAATTAACTAAAATATCTAAATCAAAACTGTGTAATACTTTTGTCTTCTCCTAATATATAAGCAATTTTTTTAATAAAAAATGTCACTGATGTTACTGAAGTTAAAAGGTATTTTTATTAAAAAATATTTTATAAAATATAATCATTTTTTATTAAAAATACAGTTAATCTTTTTTATAATCATACTATTCAAAACTATTAAATGGTATATGACTATATAAAGATATACTTATACTAAAGAATTTATTACTTTAGTCTAAAGATGGTTCCCATAATTATTTTTAAAATTTTTAACTAGTTGCAACTTAAGTTGCAACACTTTAAGTTGCAACTATTTATGAATTTTTATATTAAAATAAATTTACAAGAAGTTGCAACTCAAGTTGCAACATACTGAGTTACAACTTCTTAATTATGGTGCTCATCTTTACTTTAGTCACTAATATATAAAAATTTTTGGTTAGCATAATTAAATATAAAAATTTGTATTAATTAGTTTTATAAAATTTTAAAATTTTGTTAAAAATTTCAAAGAAATTAAGTATATATTATAGTAATACCTGAC